GGAAACACATTGCATATAAATATATAAATATATAAAATAGCAAATTAATTGTTTTCATTAAAAATGAAGATCATTCATTAGATGCTATGAATGAGATATCTCCTCAACAGCGAAAGGGTCAGAATTGCTTATTCCTTTTATATTAATGAACTTTTGTATTAATGTATCCTATTGAATTGATTTTTATTCAAACTAAATATAAGATATATCAAGTTCTTATAGTGAAACAACGAATTATTTCATTCATAGTTTCACACGTCATGAACGATATTGTTTGACGATATATTTCGTCTATATAGTTAATTCGATGTTTTATACAATTTATATACAGAGTGTTATTAAAATCATAGTACAAATTTGGGGTGATTCTACATTTAAAGAAAAAGTCTAAAAGAAAGAACAATATTTCAAGCTTCGTTTTTGAAGTTTGAAAATCAAGTTTGAAAATTTATTAATTATACTTGAATTTAGCTGATTCTGAGCTGCATGAAATAAAATGAATAATTAATATTTCCTACTAGCAGAACTAAATCAGAAATTAGAAGAAAAAGTATATCTTGTCAGAATACAAGAAATTGTACAAAGTTCTGTCTAACAATGATATATGTAAATTTTAGGCTTTCAAACGAGTTCAGTGTAGACTTGAAGGAATTGAATTGTGTGAACAGAGAAGAAAACGTAACGATGTTAAAAATAGATTGTGTAACGTGGGCATGGGTTTGCAGTTTTCAGTTGATAACAAATAATAAGTGCACGATAACAGGAATCGATACGCGTGTTCCAATTAACGTTTATATAATAAATTCTACATAGGTTTTCTTCTATTTTATATTGATTTATTAAAATGATTGAGAGATACTGTTCTTTTCAAACAACAATATACCAGTGGCAATGAAATTAATTTTATTAGACGTATTAAAAAATTGTATCAATAAATTCTATGTCGACTTTTCATATTGATTCGTTAAAATAATCGAAAGACATTCACTATCCTTTTCGAAGGATAATATATAATAGTGACGATGAAATTAATTTCACGAAATAGAAAATTGCGAAATTAATAATCAATAATATTAGTGAGGCACAGTGGTAACAAAAATAGAGAAAACAAGACGATAGAATGCAATATTCGTAGATATTACATCACCTTCGCTATTGATTATCCTGAAAACGGTGCCTCAGGTGAAAAAAAGTGTTTCATTTTTGCAGCTTATCTTGTTAGGAACCACACCCCTCGATATCCTACCTATCAGTGATCTCCCCGCCGGATTTTCGATCTTGCAATTTATGAAGATCGTCTATGAAACGCATTTAATCTTTCGATTAAGATAATTAAGTAGATTGCGGATCTTTATAAATTTAATAGGGAATTGAAAAAAACTGGATAAATGCACAGACTGCGCACGAAATACAATATATAAAATATCCGATGTAAAGTATTTGTTATAATATTTAATGTGAGGTAAATTTCCATTTAAATTCTATGTCTACAGTTGCGTTTATAAAAATATAAAAATTTCAAGAAATGTTTGATGTATTCTATATTATTATCTCGTGTTAATTGCACTGTGAAATATGTGTTTGAATGATGAGACTTAAAATAATAATTATTATATGAACTCTTAAAAACTATCATGAAATATTGTCATGGGTTTTCGAGATTTCAAGCCAATGTGCCTTTTTTTATCTTAGGAATCAATTAAATTACACAAACGTAATTAAACGTTGTATTATTAATAGTAGGTGAGAAGTAATTATAATTATAATAAGTTGTTATAATTTCATTTATGATAATTGAATTGCGGATTTTCAAGAAAAGTTGTATTTTTAAAAATATAATTTGAAAACTAGAAACTCAATGGAAATATATTTTGCGTACTAAGTGTTACAGAAAGTAGTGAACTTTGAATAATATATTCATAAAATGTATTATGTAAAATTAAAATATGTTCTATATGTATATTGTATTATACAGGGTGATTCACGTAGATTTGAAATAATTTTTAAATTATGCATCTAATGAAAAATTGTTTAATACAAAAGTTATATGGTTTTAAGAGAGGCAAATAATGGTGTATCAATTTTTTTTGTATGTTGAGAGGTTTCGAAATTTCCAAGTTCGTTTTTTTTTTTTTTTAATTGAACCATATATTTTTTTTTATCATAAATCAAAAGAATATGAAACTTCGAAGTAAAAAAGTAATAAATCATATTGGTTTTAAATCTAATGGTTGAGGAAATATTTTACGATAATTTGTCTCGAGGACGAAAACTGCGTAGCATTGTCAGAGAATTCGACAATATTTATAAACGTCAGTATTATTATCTTACAAGTGGCCTTTCGATAGATTGTACGATAATGCCAATTTCAAAAATTGGTGGAGATAACCACAAACGCTTAAATGAGGACTACTGTATTACGAGAAATTGGCAACTTTAGTGTTATTAACGTCGCCGTACCGGAAGTAGTACCAATGAAGAAAATGCTGTTGCCGTCTTAGAAGCTGCAGAATACAATCCACATGTTAGTACACGACAGATTTCTCGACAATCCAGACAAGTGTGCTTCGAATTCTTTATCCTCATAGAATGTACCCCGTACCACTTATATCTTTACGCATTCGACTTTCAAAATCGAGTATAATTTGCCGAATGGTTTTTATAACAAGTAAGTGTTAACGAAAGTTTTTTTTTTTAAATGTACTGTTTACGGATGAAGTAGCATTTATCAATCATGATAGTGTCAATTTACAGAATTTACATTATTGGCCATCAAATAATCCCCTTGGATGAGAGAAGTTGATCATTAAGATCCATGGAACATTAATGTGTAGGAAGCAAATGGTCTTAATATTTTATGTAATCTTCATCCTCGAGACAAATTATTGTAAAATATCTTCTTAACCATTAGGTTTAGGACTAATATAGCTTGATACTTTTACTTGAAATTTAATATTCTTTTGATTTATGACGAAAAAGATATGTGGATCAATTAAAAAAAAAAAAAAAGATGACCTTAGAAATTTCGAAATTCACAGAAAATTCAAATGCTAAGTAGGCAAAGGCAAAGTATTGCCTCCCTTAAAACCGTACAACTTTTGTATTAAACAATTTTTCATTAGACGAATAATTTAAAAGTTTTTTCAGGTGTGCAAATTACATGAATCATCCTGTATTTATATTATGTATATTATTAATTACATGTCATTATGTGCAATTTTGCATTTCAAAATTTTTTTTGAATGCATAAAAATTTGCAAACTAACAATGGAAAGATGAAACTATCTTTTTATTTGAATGTTACAAATTCAAACGTTTTTAAAACCATTAAAAATTTCTTTTTATGATTGAAATTATTACGGATTGATGATCGGATACAATAACCTTTTAAAACTTGATTTTGTCGCTGTTTTATTAAATTTTGAAATTTCGTCGTCTTAGGCGAAAATTCAAAAATACCGAATTTTTCAAGGTTTCAAACAATTTTCTAATATTTTTAAAAACATTTGAATTTATAGCGTTTTCGAGAAAAGAAATACCTTCATCTCTCCACTTACTACATTTTTCTTTTTCAAATATCTTTGAAAAAAATGAATCCAGGATAGTGAAAGTGGGAGCTTTGCGCCTTAAAACGAGTCCGAGTGAATTGTTGTCTTTTCTCATAGCGCGACAACAGCTTTGAATATTAACAATTCTTACAAAGATCAAAAATTTAGCGTTCAAATATCTATCTGAAAAAAAATGTTATTATTTATGCACTTGTGCGATCTGGCAATTTAAAATTTCTCACGCGTAAAAATTCGCAGTCTAACGACAGCATATTTAAGTATTTTTAACAACATACCAACCAACGCAATCACAACGAAACTTTGCTTATCCGGCAAACTTTTGTTTCAGCAATCATAACTAATGCCTGCAGGCGCAGTGGCAGCGAAAACGACAACCAGGTGTCGAGGATTCCGTCGACCTTGAGCGTGGCAGCCGTCGATGTCGTCGTTGCCTGTCAACCGTCACCGTCGCATTCCATTTTAACCTTGACACCTGGTAGAACACGAAACATCGATCAGGATATGGAGGCGCTTAGGCTAAGTCGACAGGATAATCCTTTCCTACAGGTTCGAATCGATAAGACTTCTTGTTACTTTACAAACGGGCGAACGGCAAAGCTAGCGAAGATGGCGGACGATTTCAGAGTGATTCAGCCGCTTTTTATCCTCCGAGATAAGAAATAAATGAAAGTGAGACTTCGAAAGATTCAAATATCAGCATTTGAAAGTTGCGAGAAATTTAATTGTTTTATGGGAGTAGAGTTTGATAGACCGATGATAACATTCAGTTCTGGTAGTTTCGTTGAAAGTTGGATAATTACCATTGTAGCTGGATATTATTATATTAAAAAAAAAAAGATTTTGTGATTAATAATAATTGGAAATATTTATTATTTAATATTTAATAATATTTAATAATAATTGGAAATATTTAATTAATTAATTAATTAAAAATTAGAATAATTGGGAATTTTTTCCTTTAATCAAGGTTTGACTAAAATTGAAATTATCGCAGAATTTTCATATAGAGCGGCCACTGAAAGACTGAATGATGTTAAACATAACTTTTACAAACACATGTTTTTAAATTTTTTATTATTTTATCTGGAAATATAATTAATGAATTTTCAGTCTTTCAGTGGCCAGCCTATATAATTGTGGTTGGAAGTAGGTTTAGCAGTTTCATCGAAAGTTGATTAATTAGTGTTGAAAACTTTAAGGAAATTTATGATTAGAGAATTTTTTGCTTTGTTTTGCTTCTTTCATGGTTTAACTAAAATTCAAATGATCGTAAAACTTTTTTATAATTTATATTTTATAACGTCGTAATAGAACATTTATTTGATGGTTTCATTGAAAGTTGAACAATCAATATTGGAAATATTAAAATAATTTATAATTGAAAGCGATCGGAAATCTTTTTTTTTTTTT